TCCCTTTTTTTTTCCCCAACCCCTCTCTCCGTGTTGGTTGGAGGGGATGCTGCATCCCCCGCCTCGGGGCTCGCCGGTCCCCCTGCCGTGCCGTGGGAAGCGCAGGCCCGGGCCCCACCGCTGCGTCCCGCTGGAAGTGTTCTCGGGGAGGGAGAAGGAGCGGGACCCGAGGCGGGGGATGCAGCACCCTCTGCATCCAACTCTCTGTATCCGAGGCCCAGCAGGCTGGAGCTGCTGTCCAAGTGCCTTCTCGCCCTTCCGTCGCCAGCGGGGGCGGCCGTGGGGATGCTAGAGGGATCCAGACGCAGGAGTCCGGTCTGCTGGTGGCATCTAAATAAAACTTGTTGGTGGCTGTACTTTTCACTCCTCCGTGCCCAGAAAGTGCTGCTGGCTGAGACGTTGAATAGCAGATTTTCCTCCTTTGGAAATCTGCTGGTCTTCTGAAGTGCCTGTCCTTGGGGTGAAATTTGACCATGGAAATTTGATCACGTGCTTTTCAGCTAGTGGAGAAATTCCTAGTTTATGCTTAGTGTTTCTGTCTCCGTGATGTTTTGTATGCAACCTAAGATCCAGTAATTAGGTAATCCTTTGTAGGAAGGTGCTGACAGCAGGATTTTTGTGTGTGTGTGTTTTAAGAGAGCAGTCTGAAACAGCACTTCAGGTGTTATTTTTCATTGTTATGTCGTAGCCTTATTATAAAGAAGCTCGTTCTTTCAGGTTTGCAGAAGGTTGGGGATTATAGAAGTTGATTATTTTGGACTGCAGTTCACTGGCAGCAAAGGGGAGAATCTATGGCTGAATTTGAGGAACAGGATCTCCCAGCAGATGGATGGTTTAGCCCCTTATCGATTGAAATTGAGAGTCAAGTTTTTTGTTGAGCCCCATCTTATCTTACAGGAACAGACAAGGTAAGGTAAACATGGTTATAAGTAGATTTAATGTAATACTTTCTTTTCAATTTCTGTAACTTATAAAAGTGATAGTACACTTGATTTTTGTTTTTTATCTCCTGGTAACTCTGCTTGACTCTTCTGTGTAGTTTTACAATCTTAATGTTGAATTTGTTATTGTCTTTTTTTAAAAAATAATTAAACTGGTAACGTTAAGTATTGTGTAGCTATCAGTAAGTAATGACTGTGGGTAATTTTGTGAGCACTTACTGCTGGAAGTGGAAGAAACTAAGCTACTAGTAGCAGACTTTTTTTATGGTATTTGTGTGTCCGATAGTAACCCCTGTTCTGTGGTGTTACTCTAGGTCATTCTGAACTGCTGGTACAGAAAGGCAGGAAACAATTCCTCCCACAGAGCAAAAAACTTGAATTCCTTTTTGTCTGGTATTATGTTACAGTAACTTTCAAATAGCTACAGGCCCTTAGAGGCTTCAAAAGAAACAGCTGTTTCACTTCTTCTGTAGCCAGTCCTCTTAACTAAATTGTTATCCTGTTAGTAAATTAATCTTCTAAGATTAGTAGTGAATACCCACTTTTACTCCTTGAGTTTGATTACCACATGAATTGCAGTTGAATTATCTCGAAAGAAAGCTGTGCATGTATGTATTTAGTACAACTAATTTTTCTAGTTAGCCTTTGATAGTACAGTTAGTGTAAATTGGGCCAGTTGAAATCTAGTGTCTGTATGATAGTGCCAAACACATTTGTCACTGCTCACCTTAACTTGGTTCTTTCAGAATCCTAAACTTAGTACTTTCAGAATTAAGCCCATGAAAACAACATGGTGGCTCTGCACAGAATGTTTGTCTAAGGAATTTGGTCAAATGCTGATGGTCTTATTTGGTGTTTATTTCATAGGAAAAAGGTTTTGAGTTAAAACAATACATGCATGCTTCTGTTTTGTGATCTAATGTGCAGGGGAGAGGCTTTGGGGGAACTGTGATTTTTAGCTCATCAATCTGGTTGAAGTTTTCAGAATGCTATACTGTTAGACCGTGGTTGTCCTATATAGTAGCTTCAGTTATGCAAATGCAGTCAGGCTAAATTCCAGTTTTGATGTACCTTACTTTGAAAAAATAAATTCTACTATCCATTGCATATCTTTGGGCTGGTTTTGAATATTTTTCCTTGAAGAAATTTGTCCTCCTATTTAAATATTCTCAGTAAGTATAAAACCCAATAACAAAGGGTTTTTATGTAGAACAAAAGGAGTCACACGACTTCATACCTGATGAGGTGGAAGAGATAAAAGCATGTCGGATGTGCCTCCACTCAGAACGAGTCAGGGTGAAAATCTGAGGAAACCCAAACCTGGTGTTTTTATGCTATCATTGATGAACGCTTGCTCAGGTTTACAAGGTTTTTACGGACATCTGTGTTCCTGCCTTCAACACTGTCAATGCAAGACTTGGCAGGTGGTGCAAGTTAATAAAGAGCTTGAACTGATGAAACATGCCCTAAGGGCCTCAAAGACTGACTTGGGGAGCTAAAATGTAACGGAGCTTATACATCTATATCAAAGTAGCAGGTATTTCTCCATTGTAAAGGTGACTTTAAAAGGATGTAGGTGGGACAAGCTTTCTTTTATGTCTTAATTATGACTGTTCTGAAACTAATACTTCTAACAAGAAATTTTAAAATTGAGTCTCAGTCATCAAAAGAGTCGTATCATAAACAAATACAAGTTGTACATCAACTTGCAATAGTTGCCTTTTAGTTGTGTGTGCCCAGTAGTCTACGAGTAGCAGACCTAGAATTCCAGTGGTTAATGTCTACTCCTGTATTGTTGATCCTGAGCTTCAGTAGATTTACTCTTTTTCTACTCAGGTCTGCTTGAGGATTTACATACGCATGTAACTAAATTCATACTTAGTTTGTGTGTAAACATATTTAGTATCAAGGAGAAGATGCAAAACTTGTTAAACCTGTTGCTGAACTTAAAAATCAATAAATACACCACAGAATTGTAAGAATTAGCTGTACAGTTACAGCTGACACCTTGTTTCTTTTCTGTACCTGCAAAGTCAGTGTGCTGATTGAGGAAGAAAGCGATGAGTATCCTTAGTTTCCTTTAGCAATTGTGTCCACATCTGATGTATTAGGGTGTCTCTGGCAGAACTGTTGCCTTCTAGTCCTGTGTGTGTGAAGAACAGTGGGGAAGTCTTCCAGTCTTTTGCTTGCTGCCTCTGCAGTTTTTACATATAAATTAGATGCGTGTTGAGACTGCTTTTTGAAATCTGGGAAGCTGCAATTCTAAATTTTGTTGATATGCCTCATCATGATTATAATAGCAAGTGTTGTGACTGAGATGTTACAAGGTCTTGTCTATATACTTTGGAAGCTTTGCCAACCCCAGTTGCACTGCCTCGTTAGAGATTCTTGCTGTGCACTTTGATTTAAAACTCAGGTGTGTGTTTGTTTGTAGCAATTTAATATTCAGGTTTCTATATGCTGTGAAAGCTGATCTGGCAACTGAGCATCAACCTCTGCTTCTGTTATCTTTAATCAGCCAGTGGAAGATTGTAGCCTCATGCATTTTAATCTTCTTATGCGAGGGAGCCGTCTTGTCTCAAAGGTAGAGCACTTTGGCAACAAACCACCTTTACTAAGCACTTTGGGAATTGGAGAATTGCATGGAAAAACTTTCTTATTATTTTTTTTTTCCCCTTCTACAGGGCTAAAAGCAGTTTTTTATTCTTTGGATTGCAATATCTAATTTTTTATTTGACTGCCTGGTACTGAATTTTACCACATGATTTCATAGCTTAGAGTTGTTTTCAATGGAATGAAAGTGCTTCACTGCAAGAATGTCACTCAAATTTAATTTGCTGCTGTCAGAGTTCTACAAACAAGTCTGAAATGTGAACAGTGTGCTGTTATAGAGAAGTTTGAATATCTACACATTTTCATTTGAATGGAAAATCACATTGGCTTTAAAAGGACTGCACTTTGTCTGAAGATTCATGTGATAGTCCAAGATCGAGATCATAAGCTCTGGCTTGTCACGTTTGTTTTTGTTTTTGTTTTTTTTTTTTACTATTTTCTGCATTTTTTGATAGATCATGCAACAGCTAGGAAAAAAACCCCTGCTTTTCCCTTCTATTACTGAATGATTTGTGGGTGGTTCATGTATCAACTGTTATGAAGTGCTGAATTGCCGTAAGGAGCTGGGGCTTAGAGAAAGGATTATACTTCACACTAATCGGAATTTTCAGGAGACTTTTTGACTGGGGGCGGGTGAGATGCCTGGCAGCAGTGCCGGCCCTGCCGCGCCGGTTGCGGGGCACTCCCGGGGGTGCCGGAGCCCTCCTGGGGTTGCAGCTCCGGGCCAGTGACGGGGAGTAGCAGCTCCGGGGTCGGGCAACCCAGCGGCGTCAAGCTGGGCTTCGCACCGCTGTCCCGGGGCAGAAAGCTGCCTACTTCACAGTGGGAAAGGGCCTGAACCTGTGGTAAGTAGTGTCATACCCCAAAGAGAACAGGCAGTTCCTTGGGATATATGCGAAGATTCTTGCCAGTAGTCTGGCAAGAGAATGAGGTTTTTTTGGTTATGCTTCTAGTTTAGGAATCATTAGTCATATGCAGATACTTTTTTTTGGTTAAGGATAGGGGTTGTCACTTTTTCCAGTGGCAGCTAAGTTGAGAGCCTAAAATGTATAGCTTTCTATTTCTATTTGTCCTGTTGTTCTTTCCTTGATTATAAAAAAAGTAGTAGAAACTACTACTAGTAGTGCAAAGCTTCAATTCCTAATGTACATGATTGTCTTCAATGAATTACAAAAGAAATTAATTTGGTATTATACTCACCACTTCATAGTACCTTTTTTTTGTGGAGTTATCGCCAGTTCAGTTGGATGAACACTAACTAGGTGATTTGCTTGCTGTCGGAATTTCATTGTGGTGAAATACTGATGTCTGGTTTTGGTAGCAGTGTTCAGTATCTGCATAAATTGCTTCAGAAGGAGGCAAAAAGCAATTGATGTGATTGATATCTGGGTCTGTCACTTTGGTTTGTTAGCTATATTTTTTTGTGAAATGGACCATCTGCTTAAATCTCCTTCCAACCTCCCCTTTCTATAGTATTTGTATCAAATTACTTATGTCCAACTGTAATACAGTATCTTACTGTACATTTGATTTTATTGAGTGTTTTAATAAGCACATAAAACTTGAATTATATGGAAAACACAGACGCAAAATGAATATAAAATCACTATTGTAGCTAGTGCTTGAAGAAAGCCTGTGGTACTGCTCTAAAACTGCTTTTTGTTCTTTTGGAAAGGAAAAAATCTGCCTGGACAATGACTTATGTAGTATAGCTTTGGAAAACTACTGTGTTGTCCTCTAATCAGTATTTCTATGTACTGTTTGGAACTACTAGACTCAAAGGAAATGTTCCATAATTGAATACACAGGTACATCTAGGTACCAGGAGGTTCAAAGGGGAAGGTAAGACTATCTGAGGTGATAAAGACTGTCTTTTGTACCAGTGTTGTCACATGTAGAGAACTATACCTGCAAGTGCAATGGAAAATTCTGTTTGTCCTTAAAGCTGCCACTAGTTGTTCAATGTCCCAATATGTCTGGCAGGTGTTTAGGATGACTACGAGCCACAGTTGATGGGCAAAGTTCAGAGTTGTGAAGATTTAAAGATTTAAAGATTAAATGAAGCTTTGGCAAGAGTAGATAGAAGCTGCAGAATGTGCTAAGAGAATGTTGGTGCTTGTGGGGTAGGAAACCTACCTCTTGTGTGATTGAGTTACTTCTCAAACTTGTAACAGGTAATACTAATGTATCATGTGTAACTGAAGCGGTGAATGATGCAGAAACAAACAAAAACATTTAGTTTCTTATATGGTGGACAAATTAGGGCGTTTTACCAACAATGTTGGAAATGTAACCTTAGAGAACTTAAAACCAGTTTGTTTTCACAGTTCATTGTTCTAAAGCTTGCTAGGTAAAAGTTCCACTAAGTGTAAAATGTTAGTGCTGAAATAATTCCTTGAAAAAATGAGTATCCTCTTGCTGCACAACGTGACTATCTTTAGAAGTGGGGGAAACTTAAACAATTTTTTTATTGTACCTAGAGAATCCAGGAGAGAGGAGGGATGGTGGATTAGGTCACAATCTAATCTACAAAAACTTGCATGGATACTTTCTATGTAACTAATAGAATCTGTAATACAACCAGGTTTTCTACAGAGAATCTATTGGGTCCTTTATAATTTGCAAAATTAGATAGGGAACTGCCTCAAGGGTTCTTATGCTTTAGTTTTCCTTGACTACATTTAACAATAAAAACCACCTTCTTATGCCTTTGTCTTTAAGGATCAAAACCCACCATTTAGTTTTGTGTAAAAAAGGAAAAGAACTATCTGCTTTTATAATCATGTCTAGTGTCATGTTTTGAACCTCTGAATGGGGGGGTGATTTTACAATGGATATTAATATAACTTTGGAGCAGTGCAATCTGAGTATGGTTGGATGGGCTAATCAAATCACTCTTTCAGGTGTATAAAATGCTTGTAGCCCTCACTGTCCTGCAATTTCTAGATGTCTTTCCTTCCTCAAACACACTTAAGGACTCAAAATGAAAACAAACAAACAAAACCAAACCAAAATAAAAACCAACCAAACAAAAAAAAAACAGCAGGGAATTTGCTGCCTGGACTTTAGTACAGGGCAGCTGCTCTAGCAGATCAGTGTGAAGTCTTTCACTGACCTGTTAAGGGTGCAGTTTAGGTTATTTAAGTGCAGACCAATGACTTTGTGAGGTAGACTGTTGAATACAAGTGGTTTTGTCTGTTTTCTCTGACTTAATAAAATAGCTTATCATAGTGTAAGGCAGGACATGAGTTTGCACAGCTTTAGTTACTTCTCAATAACTGTCGTTTATATGTGCTGTAACTTTGTTCCATTTGTCAGAAAAATACAAAGTAACTGAGTCTCTGTGAGATGTTTTCCCTTGTGTGATGTGAGCCAGTTATGTGAAGTTACTGCACATTAGCTGATGTGATGCTATTTCACATTTTCCTTAAACTCATTTGTCTTCCTATGCCATTGCTGACTTTCTAGTAATGGAATGTGACAAACCATGCATCTGCTGTAGCTGTTTCTGTAATGCATCTGTATTTGCAGGAGCAGTATTTTGTTTTTCATCTTCCCTTGTGATGTCATTAAGGTCTTCCCAGCAAGGGGAGAACTCTTGATCTTCCCCTGTGTAGTCAGGGCTGTTTTATGCATAAAAAAACCTGAAGATACAAGCATTTAGGTGTGGTAGCTGTAAATGTGTGTCAGCTAATGAGAATAAAATTGTCTGATCTTTCTTTGAAATACTGTATTTGTAATTAGTACTTAGTTAAAACGACTGAAAATCCTGTCTTTGTATTGTCAGAGGACTGAGTGCATGAGAAGCTGTTTATTTTATGAAGTGTTGATTGGAGTCAGCCTACTATTTGAATTTATTTTGGCCCTAGTGTTTTAGTAATTTATCAAGTACTTCGGGTTTAGGGACTAAGCCCCAAAAGGAGTCTGTACAACCCAAGTATTTTACAAGGCCACAGATATGTATTTCTGTGGCCCAGGCTGAAAGAGCTGTGAATCAGCAGGGTAGGAGAAAGGGATTGGAGCAGAAGTTTGAGGTTTGCTTGGAAGAAAGAGCCCTAACAAGGAATAACCTGCTAACAGTGGAGGCAGCTATACTGCCTGGAGTTATGGTCCTCTTGACACCTAAACTTGTATCCTGCACAGCACGAGTATATTGGCTTGCACCAGACCCCCACTAGCACTGCTGAAGAATCCTTGATGTCTAGACAAGATCAAGAACCCTTGATGTCTAGACATCAGAGCAGTGCAATTAAGCACTTGTGCCACAACTGCCTTGATACTCTAGCATGCCTCAAATAACTTGCAAAGGGAGGTGTTGGAGCTGTGACTTGTTGCAGGAAATGGATTGTAGGATAATGGGGCATCTTTTGGGCTGCTGTCTTCTTAGTTGCAACATTTACCACAGTAGAGCTAAGAATGAACATGAATTTTGCAAGTTCTGTAATTGCTCATAGCGCTGAAAGAAGTCCTATTTTCCCTGTTGTACAAAAGAATTTTAGAATGCTGCAACAGAATATATGTAAGATATCATCCAATTCCCATTGGAAGGAAAGCTAATCATTTACTAGCATCTTCAACTTCAGTGATGAGTGATTCAGTACAGCTTTTCTTAAGTAGATCACAATTAATTTTAGAAAAGAAAATGTCCCATTCCAGTGGAAGCCATGACACATCACTGTCAGTGTTAGGCTTCATTTATAGAAATATTTTTTTCAGTGATTCATAACTAATATGTAATTCTGCATCTGAATTCCATACATATGTGGAGTCTTAAGAACAAATGGTAAGACATTTATATTTTGTCCCCCAAAGAGAGAAAAGGATGATGTAGAAGTTGAAGTAGCCCATAGGGGAAACTAACATGCTGCTGTTAATGTTGGTGGAAGTGTTTATGTGTCTGTTAAATGACCTATTAGACAGTTAAGAGCAACTTTGTGATTTTTCTTAGCAAATTGTTGAATCTGCCTTGGCCCCAAGTGTAAAGATTGGTCTGACAAATGCTTACACAGAAGATGTTTTTGTATTCTGTTCCACAGTGCCTTTTCAGGTGTTTCAAGTTGTTCTGGTAATCATGTCGCTCATCTTCCCTTAAATGTAGTGGCAAAGGCATTTCCACTGTGTAGAGAAAGTATGGTTTCTCCTGTTGCATGACATAAGTGTCTATGCTGTTTTGAGTTGTTCTTCCCAAATTTGCTTTTGTGAACTGCAGGATAACTTGTAAATGGCAACCAAAAATTTAAACGTAGGAAAGTAATTAAAATATATCATTGATATTTTGTTCACTAAATCGAAATGACTAAGTGACATTAGGAGTTAAAGCAGTCTGTATTCTTAAGAACATGATTAAAATGCTCGTTTCCTTTATAGTAATTTTAGATGCCATCTTCAGTTGTAGCCTTGTGTTTAAGGGTGAGTGAGTAAGACAGAGGCCTTTTTCTTGTGCCAGACTTCTTCTGTTTGGTACAATCATCACAAATTCTCGATTACCAAACTAAAGGTTACCAAATATATCTAGTTTGTTATTTGATACGTCTTGATTACAAACGTCATCTAACAATTTGTGTAAGCAAATGTTTCTGATTCTATTGTAGGCATATGTTTTTCTTGCATATAAAAGAAGATCTGCTCTCTGGTAATCTTCAGTGTTCTTCAGAGCATGCAATTGAACTTAGTGCCTTGTTGGCACAGATGAAGTTTGGAGACTATAACCAGAACACTGCCAAGTACAATTATGAAGAGTTGTGTGCAAAAGAGCTCACTACTACCATTTTGGAGAGGTAAAAAGAGCACAGTAATACAGACTCCTTTTTGGAGATCAACAGCAGAAGATTTTATGCCCTTAATTGCTGGTGCTATAGTGTAAAACAATTCAGATAGCTTTGGAGATCAGAATACAACCTGAATTTGATGTTCTGATTTCAGATAATTTTTAAGCTCACTTAGGAGCATTTTTTTTCTTTTGTGAAAAGCAAAAGCTGCCTAAACTCTAGTACTTGGAGAAACATAGATATCTAAGCACCTGGAGCAGGGGAATAAATTGTAAATATGACTTAGACCTACACTGGTGAATGAAAGTAGCAAGAATTTATCTGGCTTAGTACTCCTTACTCTGAGATATAAGCAAAATTCTCAGATACATTCCATAGTTCAATTCCAGAATATCAGGAAACTTTGTGTCCTACTTGTGTGTAGTTTTTTTTTTTTAGTTATGGTCTTAGTGGTGGTTCAGGGAAATATGTTAGGGATCATGGTGTTCATTGGAAAGCCCTCATTACATGTAGTTGTTTCATTTCTAAGGCATTCTCAGGATGTTTTGGTAATTCTCAGTTATTTCCAGTTCACACTTACTGGAAATCTATAGGCAGTTAAAGCAGGTCAGCAGCATTTAATTATCTGTTTAACTAGGTCATCTAAAAACCCATGTTAAAGCTAGCTGCTGACAGTAACAGCACATATTTGAGTTACATCACCTATTCTTAATCTTTTTATCAACAGCATTATTGCAAAGCACAAAGAGCTAGAAGGTCTAAGTCAAGCATCTGCTGAATACCAGATTCTACAGATTGTTACTACACTGGAGAACTATGGGGTAGAGTGGCACTCAGTGAGAGACAGTGAAGGGCAAAAACTGCTTATTGGTGTTGGACCTGAAGGCATATCCATCTGTAAAGATGACCAAAGTCCGATCAACAGGTATGTGTTTTGTGAAACCAGTTGCATGATCAATTTTTCAGAAGTACTGAGCATGGCTCTAGTTTTTACAGAAATACACAACTGCTCTGAATTACTAAAAGTGGCTGTTGGAAAGTAGGGTCTTAGGACACTACCTGCTTATAATCAAGATAACAAGTGGCCGTAATACTCTTAATTTTTTGTGTGGTTTTGAGGCAACATCTACAATCCAGCATTACTGACAGTGGAGACCATTGTAACTTCTGATAAAAGTGCAATGTAGTAGTTTGTGGAAAATGTCCTTATCCTTACCAGCTAAATAAGCTTTCTGTTTTTTAATATTAATTTATAGGATTGCTTATCCTGTTGTTCAAATGGCAACTCAGTCTGGGAAGAATGTATATCTGACTGTTACCAAGGAGTCTGGTAATAGTGTAGTTCTCTTGTTTAAGATGATCAGTACAAGGGCAGCAAGTGGGCTCTACAGAGCAATTACGGAGACACATGCATTTTACAGGTCAGTATTGCCACTAGAGTCTTCTGCTGCTACTGTTCTTCTCCAGTGTTGGAACTAAATGCTTAAACAGCCAGTGGTCTGACTGCACTTTGGAAATACTCTGCAAAATTGCATTGTCCTTGCAGCCCCTACTTTCCTCTTAAGTCTGGAAACTGAACAGGTTTTTCTGTTTTCTGGGAAAGTAAGCAAGAAAAGTAAGCAAAATTTTTCCCCTATGAATAACAGCACTTGGGTATGTAAACTTTTTATGTTCCTTGATACTTCATAAAAAATACATAGAGTGTTTTGTCCCCATGTAAGAGGGAGAATGAGAGCAATGGAGAAGATTCTGTCATTCAGAATACGTAGATCCTTTATTTGGCTCCTCCAGTTATATTATATGTATGCCACCTTCCCATCCCATGTATTTAAATCTTCTTACAATTCCTCTGTCCTTGCTCACATGCCCAGGATTTTGTTTCATGACAGCAGCTGTATCCTATCCTATTGCTCTTTGAGGCAGAGGTGCTATATTCATATGTTAATGCTGATTTTTAAAACCCTCTTTCATTCCTACTGTGATGTCCAACACTGATCAGTAGAACTGGCTGTTAAAGACACTTAGCAGTGTTTTCTTAAAATTAACTACCACATATCAGTTTCAATTCCTTCTTGATCTGCATCTCTGCTTTTAACTTCTGCTGTCCTTCACAGTTTCTGATTTTAATTTAAGCAGAATTTTAGTTTGGCAATAGCATTTGGCCATAAGCTTAGATCTTGGACCTTAGGCCCTGTGAGGCTGTAGTCCTTATGTTCTGTTTGTTTTCTTTCCTGTGTTGCCTAGAGAAGTGATATGCCTTAATAGGCTTCTGCAGATTCAACTGTATCACTGAAGTATGTGACAGGCATGGTTAGGGTAGCTGAAAATACTCAGTGGCAAATACATATGCTCTAATTTAATTCTCTACACTGCGTTCACACTGGTTCTCTTCAGAATAATATAATACTACTATGTAAAGTGCTGGGTGGAAATTTGGTTAAAAATACTACCTGACTCTATGAGAGTCAAAATTGAGAGCCTCTCTAAAGAAAGATGTTATGCCAATGACTCTTAATTGGAATTCTTTAAGGCAGTGTTTGGAAATTGCCATGCAAAGAGACATTGCCACGCTGAACTGTGGATTAAGCGTTTGTTGTTTATGTTAGCATAATACTTTACATCCCTTCCGTGGACTTGACTCATTTTACATCTTGAAGATGTGAAGTGTCTGTCACATTTTCATTTTGCACTTTTCAAAATAGAGTTGTCATGCAAACAGCATTTAAGAGCTTAAATGCTACCTCTGACTGTTCTATTTGCTTTAATTTCAGTGCTGTCATTTCAACTTTGGTAGCAAATTACTGTATGGATAGCTTTATTGGTATTAACTAATCAATTTTGGATTTGTCTTACTGCTTTATAGGTGTGACACTGTCACCAGTGCTGTGATGATGCAGTATAGTCGAGACTTAAAGGGTCACCTAGCATCTCTGTTTCTAAATGAAAACATTAATCTTGGCAAAAAGTACGTCTTTGACATTAAAAGAACATCAAAAGAAGTTTATGATCACGCGAGGCGAGCTCTTTATAATGCTGGTATTGTGGATCTTGTCTCAAGAAGTGACCAAACCCCACCAAGTTCCCCCCTTAAGTCGTCAGAAAGCAGCATGAACTGTGACAACTGTGAGGGTCTCAGCTGCCAACAAACAAAAGCCCTGCAAGAGAAGCTGCGGAAGCTAAAGGAGTCCATGCTTTGTATGGTGTGTTGTGAGGAGGAAATAAATTCAACCTTTTGTCCCTGTGGCCACACAGTTTGCTGCAAGTCCTGTGCTTCCCAGTTACAGGTAAATGCAATGCCATTGAGTTACGAGTTACCAAGCTATGTGGAAGGTTTGGGGTTTTGTATATTTCATGATCATGGATTAATAGGTTGATGTTCTAGTAAAACTTATTTTTAAAATTATGGTTTTGGTAAACTAATTTCAAAGAACATTCTGCCTGGATGATGTGCTAACATAATTTGCAGTGAGGCTAAGAATGAGCTGCATGCTTCTCACAGTACCCTGTCCTAAATATGGGATGGTGGAAAGTACTGTTATTGTGTGCATGGAGGGAAGTCTCTGGTAAGTGCAGAGACTCAAAATATGAATTAAACTAACTTCCTAATGTTTTTCCTTTCCAGTCATGTCCTGTTTGCAGATCCCGTGTAGAGCATGTCCAGCATGTGTACTTGCCAACCCACACCAGTCTTCTCAATCTGACTGTGATATGATCTACATATACACTTTAAACCCATCATGTACTCTTTAAACTGCACTAATACGAAATGCAACCATTGATTGTGAAGAAGGCAATCACTGGCACCTATCCACGATCAAAAGCAAAAATACTGCATTTTTTAACATAAATGTTCTTTGTTCAGCATGTCCAAAATAGTTTGGGACATCTTCTGAGAGCAGAAGTGTAACTGATTCATGTTACTTAAAAGGAGAATGATATGTAAGTTTGTATCATGGCAGTGTTGCCACGAAGCTAGGTAACCCTGGAGAAATGTGGTGTACACATACAGATGTACTCAGTGAAAGCAATGCAGCCTTTTCTTTTACACGCTCTAAATCCTTTTTAGTACAGTCACACTGTTTATTTTAATAGTAAGACTAGCTTTTACAAATACCAGTTTAGTATGACTCATAGCTTCAACTTTTAGTAAACTGCTTTAAAGGGGAGAACTTTTTTTAAAAGTCAGTTCTTAAACTGAAGTTATAAGGCTTCCTCAAGTAGCTCTGTTTAACTCAGAATTCTATCAAATAGAAAAGAATTCTGAGAGAATAGCTTTGGAAAGGTAGGACAAGTTTGTTAATCTCCGAGTGTTGAGGGTGGATCAGGAAGGTTTGTGGTTGGCAGCATCCTGTGGGAGCGCTGTTGTGGGACTTCATTCATAGCTCTCAGTGCGCAGGCAGGGTACTCCCAGGTTTCCCACGTCCAATTTGGCTGGTGGTCTCAGGAGCTTCAGTCAGCTGCCCTTCAAGTTGGCTTTATTTTTGGAGACTGATTTTAAACTATTAAACTATGTACCATTAATTTTTAAAATAAGGGTTGTGTATAATTTTAAATGCTTTCTTCAGTTAGCATCTTTATGGGATAGGTAATTTTCTGCTAAAATGTTTTTAATTTCCACCCCCCTACTTGGGCATTTTGGGCTCTGGTTTCCTAGTGTCTTCTCCAGGGTACAGAGGGAACTGGAGACCATGTTTGGGTGCAATACTGGCTTAATCAAAGCTAGAAAACTACACTGTCACTTTACTGAAATTTTCTGACTATACTTTTCATATTGCCTTAATGTAGCAGTAATGTGTGTTTATGCATCTGTTTCTTTGCACAGACATTTTGTCAAAATATTAAAACTCTACTTTTTTATGACACATTAGCATATAAACCTTACTCTAAGAGGGTATTTATTTTTTCACTTTGTAAAGAAAATTTTGTTTCCTCATGAAGCAAGAGCTTTGTCCTATATCGTAGGCGGCTTCTGTCTTTTTATATTCAGATTAATAAAGGACTTTAAAAATCTACTTTGTGTTATTGCTTGGACTAATTTTGTTCTGAAATACATCTGAGGCGTTACTGAAAACACAGCACAAAGTATTTTCATGTTTATGGTCTTGTATGTTATGTCACGTTCTAAAAAAGTAATGGAGCTTCCTCAGGTGTTTTCCAGGGAGGGAAGAAAAGTAGCATGGCATAGCCAAGTTTGTTCAGACAGTGAGCTTTAAGACAGCTGACATATTCCAACTGTGATCTAGCCTTCAGAATTGATTTTGTGAAGAACCTTCCTGCAGTAATTTGCCCCGAATACACGGGGTATATTCCCCTGGTCTGAGAGAAAGGAAAGTATGCTGCTTGAGACGAGAGAGTTGGTGTTTCAGCAGTCCTGTCTAGGAATTCCTTAATTATGGATGTGTTGGTGTCTCTTCTTGACTGGAGCTATTCAGATTTCCTAACTTATGACTCTTTCTTTCACGTTATTGAAGAGATGGTGCTTGAACACTTCCCCGGTGGTGCCCTGTCATTGACAAGGAATGTGTAAGCAAGTGTGTTCAGAGAAGACTATATCCAGCTCCTGTGCCAGCATATAATAGTGCTTGAGCAAACCTTCCTTGCGTCCCAAGTTTACAGCCAAATTATGTTAGTAACATCTAATCCATTATCTTGTGGCAGCTGGCTGAAATGGATTTGTAAATCAATATAAATAGATGTTAATACAGGCATCTGATTTAAAACATGCAACATGATCAAGCTCTTAAGATAGGCAAGCACGAACTACAGGTCCTTGTAATTAAATTGGCTGTCTAATGAGACATCCCTACTACTCATCATTCCAGTAGTTAGAACTCTAATCAAGGTGGGATTTGAGATAGGTTATATGGCATTGGTGGAATTTGGGCAGAGCCTTTGACTTCTGCAAACAATACTCTGTTTAATCTTGAAAAGCTAGGCAGGGGATCAGGCACAACCTGTGAGGTATGAGCCTGGCTGGTGTGGGATGTGCCCGAGGCTGCTGGGAACCTGGTTCTGTATTGGCAAAGGACAGCATGGAACATGAGTGGAGCTGATATCTTTTTCCAGTTAGAAGGGGTGAGATTAGTATGCTCCCCAAGCAGTGTGGCTTCTTTTTTCTTTTTTTTTTTTTTTTTCTTTTTTTTTTTTAATGAAAGGCTGTTACCTATTCTGAGAACTGAGAGCAGATCACCTCTTCCAAATGTTGTAAATAACCAAAAACCTCACTTGGTTTGTATGTGAGAAGAAATAGAATGCAAAACAATGTAAGAATTGCTTTGATTTGTTCACAGGCAGCTTTATTCCAAAGCATATCAACTACATTTCAAACAATGCTATGCTAGAGAAGTTTTGCTTAACCATCCGAAACTGCTGTGATATGTATTGCTCAATGTTTGCAGGTCTAGTGCTTCTTATTACAAGAAGTACTGTGGCTGATACACGTGAGCTGCTGAGTGCTATGAAGAGTATAAAAGAAACAATAGAAAATCTTGAACTCCACATGCCATGTAGCCATGCTGCAGAAAAGGCCTCGTTTGCTGAAGTGCTGTTCGTTGTCCTAAGATGCTTTGTCTGAATATTGTAATAGGTGGCACTGGGAAAATTCCCACACTAGAAAATAACAGAACAGTTTGTGAAAGCAACTGGAGTTCGTGTCCTTTACGCTTCTTCCTCAGGAGCGGAAAGATTGATCATAAAGCTTCATTTGGCACTTGTGCTGATATCTGTTACCCGAAGCTGATACAACTTGGCAGGAAAACTCATAGAAAATTCAGTTTTCATTTATCTTCAGAGTTGCAATGCAGCTGCTGTAATCCCATCAGGTGCATCACTTTAAAAGGCTGTAGTCTCAAGCTTCTGCCGCAAGTACTTAAACAAGAAAAACTCATCTTCAGAGAGAACACGGCTTGCTAGGTCAGCCCTATTAGAGACTTGCACTTCTGGGGGTAGAACAGCATTCAAAAGCCTCCCTCTGTGGGAGAAAGTTGTGTGTAGGCAAACAGTAGAAGGTACATTTTCCTAAAATACCATCACACTTAAGTGTTATTAAAAATAAGACAGGGCTGGGAACTCCCAGACTTTCACGGTATCTGCCTGGCTTTCATCTTTGCCTTGCTGCATCAAGGTCTCCGTTTATGGAGAGCTCAACCACCAAGGGGCTTCAACAGTGGCACTTTGAGATGTTCCAAGCTCCAGCTGTTAAAAAGGCACAGCTCTATCCTCCAGCATGTAGTCACTCATTTCAAGATGCATATGAATGTTCAAATGCCAAGACTGAAGGCTTCTGTATTTTTAAATTATTTTGATATCTTCCCCAAGTGCCATAAAAGCACGTACACAGCAGCATTCATATATTTTGAGATTTATTTCCTTGCTAAATCAGCACTGTTGTGTTCCTAGGAGAATGCCCTGGGGGGAAAATTCTCATCCCTCAGCCTACGCTATTTCACTTCACAGCAGCGCACTGGCATGTTGATCAAAGATGGGGAAAATTACAGCTCAGATTTCCTGTGTACGATTTTAAACAACAAACTCCACAGAGTGTGAAAATTATGAATTGACAAATTTTAGTTTCAGTAATGCCTGGTCAAATATCCTTCTGGAATCACCCACCCCGTTTTCACTGAGAGCATGCTGTAGTGCCAGGCAAGTGCTTTGATCGCCTCTGTGTCCTCAGACTCAGCCAGCTGGAGCCTGTTAAAACAGAAAATAGCAACTGGCAAACGGGTTTAAAAGTAAGCAATTTTGGTAAAATTGTGGAGGTTCCTGGTTCCTGCCAGGATGAGGGACTTGTAGGGGCTGGCCAGTGGTGAACTTTCAAAACACTCATGCGTATGCCAAGTTCCTGAAAGAAAAATGTCAAGCAAACAGACCATATCAGCTTTCCCAGAGCTTAAAAACAGGTCACTTGCTGATTTCTCATCAACTAAAATGCAGAATTCTTTTCAGCTACTTGGAGACTGGGGGGAGGGTGAGACATGGGTGGGTGGGTGGGGAATCAATCTGCTCTTGAAAGCTCATGCCTTTCTTTGCCTTCACTTTGACCCTCTCCTAAATGACCTGATTTAGCCTGCCCACTATTTTCTGACCATTCCTTATTCCTGAAGACTCTTCTGTTTTCTCTCACCAGTCATTTCTGGAATCCAGGTTCTGAAGCCAACCTTCCTTCTTCTAGCAGCTGTCCACATAAACTGCCCAAGGAAACAATCTGTGACTTTATTTGGCCAACCCCATCAAATGATAATCACACACACCTCACCCCCCATCTCTTTCTGTGCCTTGTCAGGAGTGCAAAGGGCACCATCTCCACCTCCAGCAAGAAGAAAAAAATCAGTATAAATTAATTTTTCCGCTTACCATTGGGGTGCCTAAACAAAATTGTTTGTCTGTAGCTACCCTCTCAGAGTCACTTAGTAGTTACAATGGGAATAATTGGGCAGGGGGGGTGTGTATGAAGGTGTTTGCCAGCTCTGTTTTATCTGGTAGCAGTGTACCTTCCCTGCTTCTTCAAAGCCAACCAGTGCAGGTAATGAGAGCCAGTAACATGGCAACTTTTTACATAAACAGGCTTGCCAGAACCAGATCTTCCTCTCTCCTGCCAGAAAGCTGTTTGTCTGAGGAATCCATGCATCTGGCATCAAATTCCAATCATAGCACTACAACTGCGGGAATTACAGAGACATTGGCACCTCATCTGAAGAGACAGTATTTGTTTTCCTTGTTTAGAACTATAAATAGTCAATAGAGTTCTCTCATTTAAGCAGTATTGATGATTGAAATAAACCAGACACAGAGACACAGCCAAAAATCGGACTTGTGCTCCAAAGCCAAACCAAGTCTTGCTTCAGAAGCCGAAGTTCCAAAAGGGCAGTGCAAAAAGCACGTGCCCAGCAAGGATACTGGCCCTGAAGGTACACTGACACACCAGGTGTCCCTGTTTAACCTTATAACTGTTTGGCCTGGTCACTGTTTGAACTGGAACTTCTTAAAATACCTTCAGCTCTGCTGTGGTTTGTGCAGCTGACTTCCTCCTTCCCTCCTCTGAGACCCACGAAGTGAAGTAATACTGAAGTGGCCTGAGAGCACCCTGCCTGAGCAACCTGCTAAGAACAGGTATGTCCTCTTGAAGGGCAGGTGCAGGATCTTTATACTTAGCACACTGGAAGTGGTGCTTTACCACCTCAGTCACTAGAGCTCTCCTGCCCTGGGGGAAACATGCATTTGAACCTCCCCTGGGGCTGAAGAAGTAAATGACTGCAGTTGTTCTATTCCCTGGGTGAACAGTGCCTTTGCTGCAACAGCAGGAAAAAGACTGTGTCTTTCTTCCCTGATCTTTTTAAAAAGAAAAGAGAGGGAGAGGGGAAAGATTGCTTGGTTCCTCTTTTTAAGAATAATTGCTGGCCCCTTCTGGAGAAGATATTTGAGACTGGTATAAATAAAAGGTGTAAAAATGCTTTTGGAAGAAAAAAGAGAGACAGAAAGTTGTTGCCCCAATGGACACTTTTGCCCAAAAGACCATGATGTTGGGTAGGTTCCCAAGTGCACAAGTTCTGGCATTTCCCCCTTTAAATCCTGTTCCTACCAGTAGAATTTCCCTCAAAATCAACTGCCATGTCCTGCAAGCCAAGGTCATAGAACCATAGATTTGTTTGGGTCGGAAGCAGTCTTAAAGACCATCTAGTTTTAACACCCCTGCCTTCAGCAGGGACACCTTCCACTTGGCTAAGTTGCTCAAGGCCCCATCCTACCTGGCCTTGAACACTTCCAGGGATGGGACATGCACAGCTTCTTCCAGCAACCTGTTACAGTGCCTCACCACCCTCACAGTAAAGAATTTCTCCCTAATATCTAGTCTAAACCAACCCTTTTTCAGTTTAAAGCCATTCCCCCTTGTCTTATCATTGCATTCCCTTGTCAAAAGCTGCTCTACAGCTCTCTTGTAGGAATTGGATGGCTGCTCTAAGGTCTCCCTGGAGCCTTCTGTTCTCCAGGCTGAACAACCCCAGCTCCCTGT